GTTTTACCATATTTTTCTGTTTCCTTTTTGTTTGTAATTGTTCTTCTATTATACTCTTTCTTCTTCTTCTACTACTTCTTTCCTTTTTCTTTCTTATTTTTCTTTTTCTTGTTGTTCTTCTTCTGTTTTTTGGTTTAATGTTCTGGCTAGTTCTTTAACTGATATACTATTGTACTTGTTCGTGTTTGTACGTTGTATGTTCAACTCGTTTGGCGAGATGGTACTCGCGGAGTGTTCAGGGCGCGGCCACCTCTAACTAGATTTCACCCATCGACACTTGAGACTTGAGAGAGAATGGAACGCCGGCGCGCCGTTGCCGCTCTGCCTTCGTTGATTGTGGGTTTTCCGGGTCAAAGGGGTGGGAAATGTACGTCTGTTTTAGAGGGAGATTGATGGAAAATCATATTTGGGGAGATATTGAGAATTCAATCGAATGGATTTCTAACACAATTTTCTGTTCGTTTTTCTTTTTGAGACGATAGTCTTAAGTTTGTAGGCTGAAGGAAATGAAGTTCGTGAGCTAAAAGAAATGAAGTTCGTAGGCTAAAAGAAATCTAACGAATTGTGATAAATTATCATAATTTGAACCAAATATTATCATAAATTGAAGTTACGCTGTTTCTTGGAACTCGAGGAAATTAAATCAAATGCACATGGATATGAAGCCACGTTGTTAGGGACTCCAATATACTTGAAAATTAACGTATCTAAATCAAACAGAACATTATTTTCACCAGAGTAAAAATGATTTCAAACGCGCACCTTAGATTTTTCCACAAAATACTCGAATTATCGAACCTCGACATGGAAATATTAATATATCTCAAAATTAACGTATCCGAATTCGATAGAATATTATTATCACCGGGATAAAAATAATCTTAAATATACACACCCATTAGATCTCTCCGTAAAAATATTCATCCTTCTTAAAACTCTTCGTTCTCCACTTATCTACACGAATCGAAGTTTACCTAGGATCTTATCAGAGAATCAATTCTACCCCTCGACGATCAAATGAAGCAAATATCGAACAATTCCGGACGATAATCGACGACGACAAATATTATTTACGCAAAGATGTAATTTCATTGGGACAGCCTCGACGAAATAGCCCGGGATACTTCGACGCTGCTTGAAATATATTTCCTCAAGTTCGGAACCGGGTAGTGGAGGGATGAGGAGGAGGAGGTAAGCCTCTTTAGACTCGTGCAAAGGCAAACAAGCTCGAGTAAGCTCGGATAATCGGATAGAACTGATGAATATGGAAAAGTAAATCCAGCTATCTGTTCTTCCCTTTTTTTCTCTGTTCCTTTTTTTGCTCGCTTCGCGTAGAGACTTGCGCCGGACTCGTCGGTCGCGAAATGGTTTTCCCGATAAATTCACCTAATAACGCCACGGGTTCGAATTTTTTCCAATTAATTGCCGTCCAACTTTTCAATTTGAAGTGTAGTTAGAAACAGCCGGGGGAAGAAAAGGAAGGGCGCCGGAGGGAGAGATAGGCGTGTATAAATTCGCGCGATTAAAGGCGATACCGTGTCCTCCGTTGAGAAACGTCCGAGATTTGCATCGATGAATTGGAGAGAGAATCGAACGGGGTGAGTATTGTTACGGGGAAGGAAATTTTTTTGCGCGGAGAAAATTGAACGAGGACGATGAAAAGAGCTGACTGATGACAATCTGTGCAAAGGGGATGTTTGAAAGTTGATTCGTAAGAAGAGATTGTTTCTCAGCTGTTCCACGTGGATTGGGACGAAACTTTGCCAATTTGTAGGATTATTGGTAACAGGGGACGCCGTGATACTTCAAACATAAGGAATGAAAATGAATATGAAAATTTAATTTTTTCTCTTTTAATCTTTGGGGTTTGTAGGATTTTACGTGAATGGGAACGTAGTATAACAGAGGTTTAGACGCGGTAATGTAAAGAAATTGAAAAATCCTCCCTCGAAAGGAGCTTCTTCATCCGGGGCAAATGAGAGTAGTACTGAAACGCGACAGTTGTTTACGTTTAATTTAAACATCTCGAGAGAAGTAGGACAATGAAGAACCCTTCAGCGTCACCGCTTAATTTCCCATTTTTCACGTGAACACGTGGTCTTTAATGAGAACAAAGTGTATTTTAGTAAAAGTACGAATTGGAGAGATATACACTAGAGAATAGAAGAAATGAATAGGATAAATTAGGAGAATGTTGATTCGGAGAACGTAAAACGTAAATTATAGAAAATACAAAGTACGAAAATAGGGATCGGTTAAATGCACGCCACAAAATGATGGATTTTCGACGTAAATTAGGAGAAAATATAAATCGCCTAACTGTGAGCTTTGAAAGTGGAAAACGTAGATTTCCGAAAACCCGCGAAATGGTAAATTTTGAAAATACAAACGAAGTCAGGTTGATATTTCTGCGAATTTTCGCTCGAAATTTTGGGAAAACATTCTTCACCTATCAAACGTTGAAACAGTGTAAAAAGACTTCAATTTTTTTGTAACGTACCTAAATGTACACCCTCCCTTAGAAGAGACACACAAATCACCAGATCGCACAGAACGCGAAAATGCATATTAGAAAAATCTAAACTTTGAAAAATAAAATTGCAATATTGTAAATCTGGAGAATTCTCGTGACAACTATCAGAACGCGTGAACGCAATCTCGAAAAGCAGCGAGCTTCGATATTTCGCGGCGAGTGGTTGAACGTTTAAAGTTGACCCAGTTCACAGCTCTCACAGTGAAAGGTTAAGAAGCGATGCCACTTTGGACGCGTGACATAATAGGGTTTTCTACCGAGTTGCTGATAACTCGAGGTTGCACGCGCGTCGTGTGTCGCTTTTCGTCGCCGGGCGCAATCGTTTACCCGTTGTCAAGAGTTTTCGGAGTGCTTAGGTCCGAACGAAATGATATATTCCAAAGGAGAAAAATTGATAAATACAGGGATATCTGTGATATAACCATTCTTGGGCATTTCTAAGGCTTTTATACGCGTGAGCTTGTATTTAAATGCAGCCTTTGAATGTCAAGCATCGCATTTAGGCTTAATCGTATGTGACGAATTAGAAATTTAGATTTGCTAATAGGAATTTGGCTTGAGTTTTGTGTAGACGACGAGACTGTTCTTAGACGTCGAGGTACTGTTAGAAATCGAGAAGAAAATTACTATTGCACATTAGAAAGGAGAACTGTTGGATCTAATGGTAGAAAATTAAAAGAAAAATTTTAAGTAAATTGATGAGCTAAAAGCCTATTGATAGATTGATCAATTTTAAGTAAATTGATAAATGTGAGTTCATGTTCTGAGATGAAAATTTCAAGAAAGTTAGAAGAAATATGTTTGAAATATTTTAGATGTAACGATAAAAAGTTTGTATAAAAGAAAATTCGTATAATGCTTGACTCGAATTAATCGATGCACGTTTATTCAAGAATATATTTACAAATATACAGAGTGGGTCATTTGACATTATCATTTTGTTTTACCTCGATATTATTATCTGCAAAGAAAAATTGATTAAACTAAAGTTGCAAAGGGAGAACATAAGATGAGTGAAACGAAATTTTTTTAGGTTATGTTCCTATTTAAAAAATCAAAATGGAAGTGTCGCCTCCTGGAAAAATTTCGTTTGACCCATGTAAGTTTAATTCATTTTTCTCTATAAATAATTATATTGACATAAATCAAGATTTTAACATCAGAAGACCCATCCTGTATATTAACATTGAATCACAAACAAGTAGCACTCATTCTTATGAAAGATGTTAATATAATTTATTTTGTTAACCTAAAGCAATCACATTACATAAAATAAAATATTATCTCCTTTTATTTAAAATTACATTAGTTTTACTCTATCTTACAAAGTATTACACTATTATTGTACTTCATTTTTCAACGAACTACCAGGAGAAAAAGAGATCCAAAGAAGAATATCCGTTATTAATATATAAATTAAAAATACAAAAATGTAAAACTAGAGCACTGTAACATTTTGACACCTACACATTCATGTATCTTGCTAGAAACACAAAGCATATGACAAGCATATATTTCATACGATATAAACGATCTGATGCGTGTCTACTCTCTCATAACAAATCGAGGCATTATGCGTCAGGACGCACTATCCCGCGCCAATTAATTTTAACGCGATAATCAATCTCCGGAGCTGTCATATTCCGGCCACCGTCTTTCAATTCTCGGCTCTAAAACCTCGAAAACAGCACCCGCGTGCCAGAAATACGTAAATTTCACAGGGAAACTTGAATAATCGGGAAATTGCGATTTTTTTCAAATTTTGCAAGTTTCTAGAGGACCTGAAGAAAAGTACCGGGCAGTTTTTTTTCTGTTTTTGCTACCTTTTTGGTTCTTCGGGGTAAAAACACCCTTTAAAGGTTAGGTGAACGTGTCAAGCACGCCTGTTAACCTCTTGCAAATCAATCTTCATATCGACAGTTTATTCGGTTCGGAATTGAATTAGAGGCATAATGCTTATGTATGGGGGGAATCCGTTTAGCGTAATCCAATAAGACATTTGAAACGTCTTTTCCTACGATTCGATTTCGTCTTTTCATCTGCTTCTTCTGTTACCTTTCAACATTTCATTCTATCATAATACTGGAGTGTTTTAACGACTACATACTGCGTTACTCTTTGATATTTTTAGTCAAATATTATAGTCTGCTGTTGGGAACATTTAGTATATTATTATTACCCTGGGATACTCTTGTATCAAAATGATACAATGCAAAATATAAAAGATACAATTTAAAAATAATTTTTCGCGACATTAGTGTTAGCATGGAGAACAATTTGTATTATTTTTGACTAACTTTAATAACCACGAAGTTGTGAAAGATGTTTTACATTTATTAAATCTAATAATATTTCTAAAGTGAAAAAGGAAAGGTATACATGAAAACATAGTGTTCTAGGGTATAGACGGACAATTTTAATTTTTGCT